CCCTCCCTCCTCAGCTTATTTGCCTAAACTATGCGCGGCCACGCCCCCAAGCCGTATCAGAATAATTTATGCGAAACTTCTCCCGCCGCGTAGAGGGTGACACGTATCTCTAGCTAAGAAACAATCGACCGGCCCTCTCGGCCACCAATCGCTACAGCTCGTACAAGTACCTAATGAATAATTAAAGACGCCCAAAGCCCAACAACAAAAGTCTGGGACGTCACGCGCCTTAATCGTAGCTTGCAAGTGGGCAGCACAATGTCCACGCTAACGCCTGGAGCCTTCCCGCCAATGGGAGCAGAATGGAGTACGACTGACACATCAGCCAACCAATAAGGAGAGAAATACACACCGCGTTTACCACACCGAGTTTACCGCCCATCACTCTCCTAGTTTTCAGAGGCGGTGCTCAGGTTCCAAATCCTGCAGCAAGATTGTCGAGGGCGAAGAGCCTTCCGATGATAGACACGGGGAAGGCCCAATCCAGTCTTCGGATAAGTCCCGCGCTGCGGGCCACCGCCCACGGAGATTGTAAAGTGCACAAGGCACCTCCCACTCAACTCAATGACTCCAGGGCTGTCACTGAAGACGAATTTTTGAACTGCTGGCAATCTCCAGGCAATTTTAATAGTAGGATCGATGCCTGGAGTACTATAGCAGCCAGAGCGCGGCAATTAATTAAACGCTGACCTTAGGGAGAATTCCCCATTCATTGCCTCTGCGGAGAAAGCAATTACACGACCAATATGAGGCGACCAGCTCAAACAGAAGCCAAAAGTACCTCACCACATTTGTAAACTGAAAGGCGAAACTCTAGTGTCTGCTAAGGTAGCTTCCTATGGGAGATTCTTCCAGTGTCATCAGCTGTGGAAAACCCCAACCCAAAACACTATCAACACCAGTTCTATTGTCTTGAATTCTTCTTCCAAAAGACTGAAGAGCTTGAAGTTAGGGATTAGTCAAACTCTAATAATGCTGGCCACGGCCACTGGTCCCAGGTAGCAAGCAAGCAAGAGCAGCCCTTTGAGTTGAGAAGATAACATACCCAGGTTTAGGGGTCTGGAAACACAAAGCTTAGTGAGCAAGAGGCAGAGTTCCAAAGAGCCTTCAGTTCCAAAGATCTACTTGAGAGTTAAGAGACGACTTCTTGTTCCTGTTGGCAACCAAATCTGTACAAATATAGCTGGGAATCTGGGTCAAGAAGTCATCCAACTCCAAAGGTTTTGATAATAGTTCAATTTTTTTCTTCTGGAGAAATTGCTCACCATTATCCTACATATATCTTCATTAGATAAAAATATTAAAATCCCAGTTTGTCGGAAGAGCCAATTACGGCATTATACTCTAGAATAATACTGATATTTAGACTCTTAGCAACTGGCTCTTCCAGGGGTTCAAGTTCAGAACGTGCTTACCCTGATGGTATGCGTTTAAAAAAAAAATGCCCTTCTCACTACAGGGCTTTACCCAGAAAAAATATATATATTATCAGAGAAGGTACTTCTATTTTTTTTTTTTAAAGAAATGCCAGATCTTTTTTTGTTTGTTTATGTGTGGCTGTGCTGGTGTCTTCATTGCTTTCTCAGGCTTTCTCTAGTTGCAGTGCACAGGATTCCCATTGCTTTGGCTTCTCTTGATGTGGAGCACCAGCTTCAGTAGTTGCAGCTCACAGATTTATCTGAGTGTGGCATGTGGGATCTTCCCAGACCAGGGATTGAACTGGTGTCCCCTGCATTGTAAGCCAAATTCTTAACCACTGGACCACCCGAGAAGGTACTTCTTTAAGAATCTGAAATCACATTTTAGAGAAGGAATTCCTTATGTTTACATCCTTTTTCTGAAGACAGGTTAGAACCTAGGTTCAAATCCTAGGTCCTCTACTTACTATGTGACCTCAAACAAGTTAATCTCTCTGTGCTTCAGTTGTCAGCACAAGTATGAACTTAACAGGATGCTGCTGCTGCTGCTGCTCCTAAGTCGCTTCAGTAGTGTCCGACTCTGTGTGACCCCATAGACAGCAGCCCACCAGGCTCTGCAGTCCCTGGGATTCTCCAGGCAAGAACACTGGAGTGGGTTGCCATTTCCTTCTCCAATGCATGAAAGTGAAAAGTGAAAGTGAAGTCGCTCAGTCGTGTCCGACTCTTTGCGACCCCATGGACTGCAGCCCATCAGGCTCCTCTGCCCATGGGATCTTCCAGGCAAGAGTACTGGAATGGGTTGCCATTGCCTTCTCCTACTTAACAGGATAGTTCGCAGTAAATCAGCTAATGTAAGCAAAGCACTTAGAAGTGCTTGCAAGCCTCAATAACGAATCTTATGCAAATATAACTGTAATCCTTAGGTGGCTTACAAATTATAAAAAGTTCAAAAGTTGTGTTGATCAGGGCAGAGGACTCCCAACCACACAGGCAGGCACACACCTGCTAAGTGCTAGTCTGTTTGGTGTAATGGAGTTGTTAAAAAGAAACAAGCCTCAAATACAGTCACTTGTGGGTGCATGCTCAGTCATGTCTCTTTGCAACCCCATGAACCGTAGCCCACCAGGCTCCTGTCCACGAAATTTTCCAGGCAAAAATACTGGAGTGGGTTGCCATTTCTTACTCCAGGGAATCTTCCCGGCCCAGAGCTCAAAACCCAGACCTCTTGCCTCTCTTGCACTGGAGTGCAAATTTGATGCCTCCAAAATCTGGAGGCAGATTTTTTACCACCGCACTATCTGGGAAGATATCACTTGTGTTAAGCCCAGCCAAGATTTAACACCTAACTAAACTGCAGTTTCAGCCTCTTATCAGGAGTAGAATCTTTAACTAATCACTACTGAGCTAATCTGCCTGATAAGACCCTTGCCTTCCTATAAGGGAATGTGCCCTTTCAGCGATACAATCCACTTTATTCTATTAAAAACCTTCCATTTTGCACAACTTCTAGGAGCACCTTTCTATTTACTAGATGGGGTGGTGCCTGATACGTGAGTTGTTTAATAACCCAATTAGATTTTCAAATTTACTCAGTTGAATTTTGTGTTTTAACAGTGAGTTCTGTTGAAGCATTATTAAATAACTGAATCGTTATTTTTTTAAATTGTTTTTCGAATTTTCTGAACAAAAATCCAAAAAGAAAAAAAAAGCGGGGGGCGGAGATTTATGCGGGACTGAGTTCATCTTCCTGACACACACACTGCTCTCAAGATAGACCTAGAGAAAATTCAGAGGAAAACCTATGGCCACCACCACGAACCAGACGGGAACCTGAAGGCAAAAGGACGGTGGTCCGAGTAGCAAGCCGAAATTCGACACCAAGGAACTGAAACACGGCTCTATACCACTTCAAACTCGGCTCACTGGCAAGGAACTTAGCACGCAGGAGCTCCTGGAAAGCGACGGCGGTCGGGCCCACTAACCAAGAAAATCTGCGCCCGACCGCGTCAATAAAGTGCTATGAAATCACCTGGTAAACGGCGTGCTAGATAAACATAAAACGGTCGGCGCAGGTAAGACTAGTCCGGGTTCGCGCAAGCACTCAGCCCCAAAATCCCGGTCAGAGAGAGCGGGTGGGAAGAGCCGCTAAATTACAGCCGCGGGGCGGGCGCCGCCCTGGAACGGAGCCGACGCCCAGGGGAGGGACGGGGAAGCGAAGGGCGGAACAGGCACCAGGGCGGGACTCGCCGGGCCGCCTGGCCAGCCCAACCCCGGAAGGAACAGAGCCGAGGAACCCGGCACTTAGCTCTACCTGCGGCGAGCTACTGCCGCCGCCGCCTGGGCTACCGCGGCCGCCGAACTCCCAACCCCGCACCCGCAGGAGACCCAACGCAGCCCACACCGCGTCAACCGAACCGCCGCCACAGCCTCAAAGCCGGGGCCGCTGACGTCAGGCTGACGTCAGATGTGACGCCGGGGCGGGGCGGGAGCGGGGAGACGGCGCAGGAGGGCGTTTCCGGAGCACGCGCCGGGCGGGGGCCGCTGACGTCGGGCTCAGGTGCGTGCGCTCGCCTGCCCGCCCGCCCGCTTGCTCGGAGCGCGGCCCAGGTGGCGGCCCGCAGCTCCAGGTGGCGTCCTGCAGCGGTGAGAGGGCGAGCGGCGGCAGGCTGTCCGGGCGGCGCGGGGACCGGGGTTAGGGGAGCGGCGGGAGGGCGGCTTGGTTTTTGCACTCACGTGACGGGCGGGGAGGTTGGGGTGGGGGCTGCGAGCTGGGTGGGCCCAGGCCCCCGAGAGCGCGGCGGACTGTCCGGCCCCACCCCTGACTGGCCTGCGCGTCGCCGCGAAGGACCTTCCCTGGGGCCGGGGCCGGGGCCGCCGCGCCGCTTCCCGGGGCAGTCCGGTCCTCCGCCGTGGCCAGCACGACCGCCGGAGCTGACAGGAGTTGTCTCCTCCGTAGGGCCGCGTCGAGAGGGTGAGAGTTCGCGCTTTCCGAAGGAGCTGCGTCCGCCTCGGCCCCTCGAGGTCCCGCCGCACCCGAGAGGATGGAGAGCCTCCCCCGAGGCCGCAGCAGGGCCCGCGAACCCACGCCGGTCGGCCCTCGTTAGCTGCTCGAAATTTGTGTTTTATCCGCCGCTTAGGCCTTGTCTCCCGAGCCAGTGGCTTCGTGGTTCCAAAGAAATGGAAGAAAAGGAGCGATGTGACCGATTCCATTCGGTCCTCTTGCCTTGAGGCCTGGTTGGCATTTGCAGAGAAAAAATACGGCAAGAAAATCGTTGCGTTTTTTTGGAGGGGGTGGAAGAAGGAAAACAAGGTCTTTGATTTTACATGGTTTTTTAAAACTTCTGCACTTTGACAGTGGCGGCGAAATACACTAATCCAAAAGTTATCTTTCTGTTGAGAAGAGGGGGATTATTTTTCCTTTTGAGTCCAACCTTTTCTTCTTCCCGTGACAAAGCATAAATCATGGACACCAGAAAGTAAGGTGGACCTCAGGAATTCTCAAAAGGCTGAGAAGCTTACATTCCTCCTCAGGAGGGAAGGGTGGGGTGTTTTTAGCCGTCTCTGGAACCTAAAAGGAAAAACATGAGTTGCGTGCCATGGAAAGGAGACAAGGTCAAATCTGAATCATTGGAGCTGCCCCAGGCAGCACCCCCACAAATCTACCATGAGAAACAGCGCAGGGAGCTCTGTGCTCTGCACGCCCTCAATAACGTCTTCCAGGACAGCAATGCCTTCACCCGGGAAACGCTGCAAGAGATTTTCCAGAGGTAGGGACCTCCCCTTCTCGTTGGGGTCTTTATACATATAGTTTTTGCTCCTTCTGAGTTTCTGTGCACGGGGCAACTTCTCTGCTGCATAAACCTTCAAACTAACACGTCTTGTTAGCTAGATGCTGTTAGCAGGTATAAGGGACAGGAATGGGAAAGAGAATAATCAGGACCATTTACTGAGCACCTACAGTGGGCTAGGCTCAGTGCTAAGAGCCTCAGTGGTGGTATCTCAAGTGATACCCTCTACAGTCCATTGGAATGTATAGTTATCACTATTTTGTGGACAGAGAAGTTGAGTAATTTGCCCAAGGTAACATAACAAGAAATGAAACCAAGCTGAAATCCAGGTTTGTTGCTGTGCTGTTGACCACTATGATATTATGCCGCTCAGGTCCTGCCCTCAAGGAGTTTAAGAGTCTAGAAGGGGAACCAGATGCGTACACACTCAATCACCTGTCATCAGAGTTGAAATGTTGGGTTCCATAAGAAAGTTCATGCACAATACTCAGCTTCCCTGTGAAGCCATGTGCTGGCCTTGGTGCTTTTTATATGGTGTTTTGCTTAGCTCTCTTAGTTGATTTACTGTCTCTATTTAACTGATAAAGAAAGAGAAGGAAAGGTCAGGTAATTTGTCCAAGCAGCTTTGAAGTAGCAAAGCTATAATCTGAAGCTGACTCTAGGTCCCCTCCCCTTTCTGCTTCATTCCAGATGGCCTTTCTTATCTGCTTTGCAAAGTGCTACCGGACAGGTTGATAGAAGTTCAGCTTTTTTCTCCCAGCTTTGATATTTTAAAATTTTTCTCTCAAAGAGTTTGAGAAATGGTTCTGCAGTGTCTGGATGAACACAGCAGCATGACTGCAGTCCATAGCAACTTTGGCAGTGAGCCTGTCTCACTACTCCAGCTTCTAAAGAGTTATCCTGCTCAGTTCTCAGTGTGAAGAGAGCTCAGGAATTCTTCAAGTGGTGCTTATTGGCAGTTACAGAAGATCCTTCTCTGACTCCATTCAGAGATGAAATTATGGCTCCAGGAGGGCCTGAATTACAGTTGAGAGCAACCTGTCTGGGGTGATGTTTGAAGCATAGGTATGGACCATTTACCCTGAAAGAACCATAGGCTCTCTCTTAAAAGAATGTTAATCTTAGTGTGCTGAGGAAGTTATAATGAGGGTAATTATTTTCCAAGGTCAATAATAGCCATAGTAATGCTTTAGCAGGGCAGATGTGTCCTTTGCATCATAGCCATTACCTGGCAAGTAGAATGAACTCTCTTCAGGAAATAGGGCCCTGGGAGATGAGATAATTTGTCTCAGATTGCTGGAGGCCAGTCCTTTAGACTGCTTCCTTTTGGCCAGCCATTAATACACCTGCTCCTGATTGAATATTCGCAAATTATGTCCTAATCAAAGACTTGGAAGAAGGAAAAGACCCTGAGTGCTTGAATGTGCTTAGTATTTTGAACTCTGACAACCTTATCAGGAGTGATCCTAGGAAACCAGAATTCACCTTAAGCAATTTACCCAGTTTCACTCATTAGTGAAAGTCAATTTCAAGATTCTGTGTGTCCATTCAGAAGTTTTTCACTTCGATAAATTTGGCCCGGGTCAACATGATGATAATCACTAACACAGAGGCACTGTTCTGAGTGCTTTCCTTGTGTTAACTCGCTCCTGACACCCATCTTATGAGATAGCTCCTGTTACTTCTCATTTTTCCAGATGAGGGAACAGACCTATTAATCGCAGGATTTGGACCCAAGCTTTGAATGGAGGACCTGCTTTCCTAACTGCCCTGCTCCTTCCTGAATATTGGGAAGGGATGTCAGAGCAATTGTCAGTAGCCGCTCACTCTTCTAGAAAGTTGGGCCTGGGTCTGAAGATGTGGACTGTGATTATAACCTGTTTCTAGATAATAGCAGGACTCTTTCAGCTGTGTTTTCCCCGATTGAAAGAATGCTAAATATTTGCTAAACTCACATAGAACCAAACTTCTGTTCCTGGCTTTTGAAGCTTTAGCGAGTTGTACTGCATTCTCCAGTTACCTCTCAGCATGATGTAAATGTCCATCTCAAAGTAATAGCAGACCAGCATATACAAGAGTGTTTGTACCCTACCACTCCAGAGGTGGCATTCTGTACAGAGTACTGTGGGAAGATTCTGTGTGGATACACAGAAACAAAGAAGTGTGAAAGGGATCAGAAGGAAAAAAAACAACAACAAAGGGAGAAGAGGTGAGGGAGAGAGGATGGAATTTTTTAAGCAAACATGACCAGTTGCCTGCAGTGTGCCAGGCACCACTCGGCACTGTAAAGAAAGCAAGCTGAACAAGACTTAGCCACAGAGAAGTAATACAGCTCAGAACTGTACACTGACCCAGCTTGAGAATAGATTTAAGTGAATTAGAACTTTGGAATTTAGAGCAGTTTAAAGGGAAAAAGATAATCTGTTTGGATCTTAAGAGTAATGTTGACAGTAATGTTAACGAGATAATTTTAAATTCCCAAATCTAAAGTTCTGTGCTGTTTTGAAGATGTGGCTGATAAATGGTAGAAATGGGGAAAAGTTTTTAATTAATGCCATTTGTTGAGGGGAAGTTCATCCTTGCAGTTGAATTCTAGCCAGGTAGAAGAAATACAAAAGCAGGGTGGAGTTTCAGCGCAGTTGTGCGTATGAGATGACTCATGGTTGAAATGGAAATGAACAGGGATTTGAAAGGACTAAGCTAATGACAGCAACACCAAAACAGGGGAGAGACAGCCAGATGTGACAAGCTCAGTCCAGGATTTGAAGATAGTGGTCACGATTGTAATAGCAGAGAGGTTGCTGGTTTGGAAAGGATGAACAACTGAAATGGAGAAAAGATCAAACTGTAAGGGATTATAGATACTGGTGAACATCCTCTACCACAAAGAAGCCCTCCTGCCCCCCATTAAAAAGTCCCTGAGCACACATTTAAAAGGATGGAGCCACATTTAAAGGTATGGTGTTTGTCAACTGAGAAAACGTGTTGTTGAGTATTAACCTCTAGAGATTTAAATTTTCTTATCCAAGGGCCAGGCCGACGACTCCTCCTCATCGCCATCACCTACAGAATCCTTCGGTGTGCCTGGCCCTGTAGTCTGTGCTTTATGTATCTAGATATTTAAAAACACATCAGGAGGTACTGAGCCATATTTTCTAAGGTCACACCTCTTCAGAAGTGATAAAAAGAAAAAAATTGAGAGAAAAGAAATCTTGATGAAATGTCTCCATATCTCTTTTTCATTGAAACCTGAAACATCACCTTAGACAAACACAGTGGTAACCACAAGAGAGGACCAGAGGCTTAACTGAGGACACAGACATCAGTGGAAAACCAGAGTAGGACCCATCTTCTCACTGTGGATGACGTCATGTCTCATGGCTTTTATCTGCCTTGGTGACAAAAATGAGAGGCTAGTGTAAAGTGCAGAATCTCTGTGGAAATAATTAAGACAGTCTTTAACAGGAGTTTGCCACGGAATCTCAAGAAAACATTCCGCTGAGACAAAGTAGATTTCCCATGGGGTTCAGTGGAAGCAGGTGTTGAAGTATCCAGGAGACTGTTGAGTGTAGCTTTAGGTTTAGAGGTGGGTTCCTAGCGCTGCTACTCACCAGCTGTATATGACTATACAAGCCATACTGACCTCTGTACCTCAGCTTCCTTGTTTACACTGTGGAGTTAATCTCAAGATTGTTGGAAGGATTACGTGATAAATCTCTTAAAAGTAGCTAACAGTGGGCACCTGATTATTGTTAAAGTAAAAACAAGTACTGGTTTAATGGGCACAATGGATAGATCCCACTTCTTCAAAAAAATTTTTACCTGTTTTTTTTTTTTTTGGCTGCACCCAGCCTGCGGCAGCTTAGTTTCCCAACCAGGGATTGAACCCATGCCCCTGCACAGGAAGCACAGAGTCTGAACCACTGGACCACCAGGGAAGTCCCTGGATTCACTTATTCAAATGACCTCGCCTCTAGGATTGAAATGGAAACCATTCTTGATTGGTTTGGCACACACATGGTTATTCAGTTGCTAGTGCCCAGCTATTAGAGATATAGTCATGCCTTCACTTTGGGAATTTATTTATGTAGCCACTCCTCCATTGGCTATTTCACTGGACAAGTGCGAAATAACTGAATTCTTCAGTGGTCCTATAAGATAGGAATATTTCCCATGTTTACAGGTAAGCTAATAGGCGTGGAGATTAAATCTCGAAATTGATACTGATGCTGCTTGGATGTGAACTCAAATATGTGTGGTCCTCTAGATTGTCCTTTTTTCCTACTACATTGGAGTCAAGAAGGATTTCATGGAAGAGGTTGGGTGTTAGGTGGAACTTGAAGAAGCTTTAGGATTTAGCTTGGAACAAGGACTAGGATAAAGAAGAGAGGCCACATGGCCATGGTACCTGAAGTACACTAAGCCCAATGAAAGGGAAACAGCAGGTCAGGTGGGGCTGGGAGGGTTGGAGTTGGCCAGCGAGGCAGTTGGTGCCATTGGCAGTTCTTATATGAGTAATTGAAATGACGCTTTGGTGAATGATGTGGCAGGAACATACAGGCTGAGTAGGTGGAAGGAGTGTTCGGAAGCAAGGAGGTCAATTTAGGAACCTGTTTCAAAATATCCAGGTGTGAGATAAGGGGCCTCCAGTTAGGGGGAGAGAGTAGGAATAGACTAGGCAAGGGTTTGAATCTGAGACAGAAGATGTAGGACAAGGGGAAGCCCTTGGAAACTCTAGTCCTCGAAGATGCACTTCAAAAAACTGTGCAGTCAAGGATGTCTGGGAACTGAAACCTTTTATTACCGCCCTCCCAACCCACCACCAACCTCTGTCTCCTGGAGACTCAAGGTAAATATTAGCATTTTAGGGGCATCAAGGAATCCTGCAGGAAACCTGTTTACTTGATTCATTCAGCTACTGTGTTGAGCACCTTCTGTGATCCTTTGGGAACACACTGAGGGGACAGCACAGCACTGAGGTTCGAGGCGGGGAGTTAGGTGGTAACAGGTGGAGGACTCAGCAGTTTCTCTACGGGAATCTTCATGCATCTACTGGCTGGAGAAGACTTCACTGAAGGGATTGAGAAGCTATTGAAAAGTTGGTGAAGGAAAGCAACTTGATATATCTTGAGATAGGCTTTCTTCCATAGGCTTTCTCCTTTAATCCAAGTGCCCAAGAATGCACTGAGAGCCTTTGTCCTATCAAGCTACATTTTAGACCCAAGCCAAGGGCCTTGGCTGGCCTTTCCTCTTATTAGCCCACGGGCAAGTCAGAAAACATGTCCAGTAGGAACCTGTAATTAAATTAGAGCAGGTGGATGTAAGAGGAAGTGACTGGGAGAAAGTTAAGGTTGGCTGGTCAGAAAAGGTCTCTAGGGCAGTAACACTGAGACCCACATAATGAGGAGCAGACCAAGTGGAGATGTAGGGGAAGGGCATTCCAGACATCAGAGACAGTGAGCGAGTGCAGAGGCCTGAAAGAGCTTGTGTGTCCAGGTGGTAGACAGAAGGTCTTTGTGCTGGGAGGTGGTGATGAGGTCAGCAGAACCCCAAGGGTCTTACAGACCCGCCGATGTCATTTAGGTCGTATTTAAGTGCTGTGGGAGCCTTGGAGGGTTTAAGCAGTGGCAAGAGTGTGTTGGGAAAATAACAATATGGTTGCTGTGTGTAGAGTCTAAGATCTCTTAAGTTTTTTGAGCTGACTGCAAGATCTGATTCTCTTCTGGAGACGGCAGTTAGCAACCTCCTAGATAGCTGCTCTCCACCTGTATTCCTGAGGAACTCACAAGGTGTGCTGCCCCTGCCTTTCCGCAGGTCCTGGCCTGCACAGCCTGCGAAAGCAAATTAATAGGATCAGAAATGCCTCCAGAACTGACCTTATCTGAAGATGGAGGAGTGGCTAAAGAGGCCTGACCCAAAGATGGCTTAAAGCCAGCGGGCGAACCAGACTGCAGTTGAGTTTTGTTTGTCTGGTGGCAAAAATATTTTTCAATTGGTGTATTTTCTTTCAAATTCCAGTATTTCACACACGTGTATATTTGGAATACCTTTAGGTGGTTCATACATTTCAGTTTAATGCTGTTTTTAATTGCTTTCCGTGTGGCCCCTGTTCATACATTGATGTTACCTGTGTGTAGGCCTTTGAGTATTTAATCATTAATAATTACCAAGTATGCAGGCCTTAAATAGAAAGCATTTAAATTGTAAAAAACAAAACTAATGACAGATACTATCCATGCAAATCAAAATATCAAATACTATTTTCTAATGTTAAAAAAAAAAAAGGCTGTATCAAAACAGGAAGGTCAGCAAAGAAGATTTCAGAAAAGGGAAGTCTGGGGATTTCATAAATGAGAGATTTCTTTCTTTATATCCATTGAATTCACTATAGACGCACTTTCTAAATGGCAGGCAGATAGGCGCCACCACTGCTGAATTACCATTTTGCATCAAAAGAAAGATAAATCCCTAGGACAGCAGGAGCCCATACTACAAAATACTTTAGTAAAAGCTGGTTACATTAACTTGAGTGGACAGCAACAGGCTTCCAGGGGCAGTGGTGTAAAGTGTCTTCTGTCCCTGCCAGTGTGGGGCCAGGAGGGCTTGGGCTGTCCAGCCAATCTCAGCTTCCCTCCTGTCGCATTTGCAGGTTATCTCCAAACACCATGGTGACCCCCCACAAGAAGAGCATGCTGGGAAATGGGAACTACGATGTGAACGTCATTATGGCAGCACTTCAGACCAAAGGCTATGAAGCTGTTTGGTGGGACAAGCGCAGGTAATCGAACCAGGCTTGACTTGCAGGGATCTGGCACTCAGCTGGGAAGGAAGCCAGTGGTGCGGTTCCAGCCGAGGAATCCTGGGGAGTCGGCTGACACCGTGGAGCCTGACTCTGTTTCTGTTCTGCAGGGATGTCGGCGCCATTGCTCTCACAAACGTTATGGGCTTCATCATGAACCTGCCCTCCAGCCTGTGCTGGGGTCCTCTGAAGCTGCCGCTCAAAAGGCAGCACTGGATCTGTGTTCGAGAGGTGGGAGGTGCCTACTACAACCTCGACTCCAAACTGAAGATGCCCGAATGGATTGGAGGCGAGAGCGAGCTCAGGTACCTGTGTGGCTGGTGTAGTGGCAAGTTGAACTTACCTCTGGGTATTTGACAAGGCAAGTGAGATTCCTAGCTCTGTGGATCCTCTCCCTGTTGTTTAGAATCATAGGGTCTTAGATTTAAAAGACCTGAATCTTCCATGGCCTCTGAGGATGTTAAGTCCCCTGGTAGAAAAGTGCCATTACCTTGGATGCTGGCTTTCTGGTTTGGTGGGACTGCCCTTGTAACATTCTCCAGCTTAGACAATTGTGACAGTATAGCAGCCAGTTCAGGGAAAGGAAGACAGACATTTGGGCCAGAGAGGGCTAAGTTTTCTTAGGACCAAAGAAGAAACATTTTCTTTTCTTTTTTTTTAACAATTAGATGTCCTTTAGAGTACTTGGGGCTCTCTTCCTCACAGAGCTGGCTACTGTTGGCAGTAATATATGAGGATGAGCAAAAATTCAGATTGGAAATTTAACTGGAAAGATTGAGAGGTAATCAAATGTGGACTGCTCCAAGAACAAGATGACTAGACTGTGTTCAGGACTGCCAAGGGTATAAATAACAAGATTACTGCCTGGCAGTGAACATGTGGCCTCAAGACTGGCATTTGCAATTTTACTAGTATTTCTTTTTTCTTTTTTTTATGCTTCAAAAGACATGTCTTAACTTTTATTGAGGACAAAGTTATATACAAATCATGTTCCCTAGAAATGATAGCTGAATAAAAAAGGACAAGTGGCTCCTAGGTCATTGTTTCAGGTTAGAGAAAGTGAAAGTGAAAAGTGAAAGTGAAGTCACTCAGTCGTGTCCGACTCTTTGCGACCCCGTGGACTGCAGCCCACCAGGCTCCTCCGTCCATGGGATTTTCCAGGCAAGAGTACTGGAGTGGACTGCCATTTCCTTCTCCATTTACTAGCATTTCATTTTCTCTTTCATCTATCCTTTTATTCCTGTAGGAAATTTCTAAAACATCATTTGCGAGGAAAGAACTGTGAACTCCTGCTGGTGGTACCAGAAGAGGTGGAGGCCCATCAGAGTTGGAGGGCTGATGTGTGATGAGTCCTGCCCAGCCTCCCCCCACCTCAGCCCCCTGAAATCCTCCGTGATGTGCTGTGGCCTCTACCATGGGTCTGCCCTTGCCACTTCCCCAAACATCTCATCGGGTCTTTTTTCCCCTCCAATTTGACAGTGCAATAGGACAGACATGTGGACTGTTGCACGAACCAACCAGCGTTACTCGCTCCTGGAAAAGGAAAGTAGGAGCTCTGTGTGCTTAGGGCGAGCTGTGGAGACCTTGGTTTTATGTAAAAGAGAAAGAAAGGTGGGTCTTAGCTTCCTTTCCCCATTTCTATGAGGACTTGACAGAGGCTGTGCTGGAGTTCACTGCTGCTCTGACTGACTCACCTGGAGATGCTGCCTCCCCTTCCCCTTTCCTGGCAACCAGTGTGAACACGCAGTCCAAAGCCCATGGGACTGGTTGGAAGGCCTCAGAGCAGAAAGGCCTCTCAGGAAACCATCTCCAGAACTGCAGCAGCAGCACAGCGTGCTGTCTCCAGCCCTCTATGCCACCCTGACGCCATTTTTAAGAGTGGTTTATGGCCATCCTTAAAGTTTTATAATGAAAAGTTCTCTAATATTCCATGCCGGGTGGTTGAATCCTGCAGTATTCTAACATGACAGGGTGAGCTAGATACTTGAGGATGTGGCCAAACCCAGGCTAGGGACAGGCACAGACAGCCTGTCTGCCTCACCCCAGCATTGTCCCTGCCACTTCACTGCACTGGTTTAGGAGGTTTGGGGACACAAGACAGGCCAAAGGGCAGTTTTCCCAGCTGACCCACCCCATTAAAATCAGAAAAAAATAAGACTGCCTTCACCATCAAATTCTACTAGTTTGAGACAGCGTTGGGCAAGGGAAGTATTGTGAAGCTAAGCCCTCAGAGATTTGGAGCAGCTCGAATTAGAAGCCCTAGGCTTGGAGTCACTCTGGTGACCAGAAGCAGAGCCCTCACGTTGGGTAGATAACGTGCATCCTGCTTAGGACCTGGGTTTGTCATCTCTGGAGTTTCTTTTACCGATAACTGAGAACTGACCCACCCCTACCTCTTTAAATAGCTGTAGGCCACTTTTCTCCTGGTAACTTTGGAAGACAAGAGGAGGAGAAATAAGTGTTAGACTACACCGCCTGTCACCAAAGGGGCCATGGTTGTCTCAAGGCAGGGGGGCAGGCAGGGGTGGCCTGTCCAGCCCTTCACAGATCAATGGTCTTGGCAGGTCTGAGAGCTGCCCCACTGGCCAGGCTCCTCTCCAACACAGAGCCAGCCTGGGGCTTGCATGTCCAGCCTGAGCAAGCTTAACGGGATGAAGCTGAGGCTTTCTCCCCACTGTGACTGGAGTGCATGTTTACACCAGCACTTTTTCTGCACATGTATCTTCAATCCCACAAGGCCATTTTTTTAACGCTAAGTAACAGAGGCCACCAAGCAGCTACTGCGTTTCACCCTCTCAGCAAGTGGCCACAGTCTCTTCTGCACCATTTTCTATACCAGACCTGCTTGGCACCACAGGGAGCTCGTCACCCCTGCACAATGACATTCCAACCACCACCAGCCAGAAGTTACAGCCAACCTTGCTGACTGTCACAAGCAGGACCTTGGGTCCATTGGCACTGTCAGTGATGTAAGCCATTTCCTGGGAGGAGGAGAAAACTCCTCGCCTCCAGTCTGCTTGGGCCTGTGCAGATGGCACTTCAAAGGAGTCCTCACGCACTTGGAGTCCATAAGCCAATGGGATATGCAAAGACGCTTAGCCATTTCAGGGCTGGTTCCTCTGTTCACATCCAATTTTGGTGCTTAGGAACAGGGACCTATGCTGATGCCCGAGGGCAGAAAGCCCCACTTCCTAAGGAAGTGGGCAGGCCTGACCCTGACACCCAGTCAGGGGCAACCCTAGGCTTTTTGTTTTTCTCTTGCTTTTCCTTTTTGTTGGCCTTGTGCTGGGTTTGTTTACAAAAGATGTATTTTGTTTAACCAAATATTAAAAATGGAAAACTCCGTACATAAATTTCATCTGTCTGAATTCTGTAACCATGTACAGTTTAAAAAGTGAACTTTAGTTTTAGAAGGCATTCACAACTGCTCTAAGTCATCTTTTAGAGACATACTGTGTTTTGGTCAAACCTCTCACTTCAAAAATCCAGACAAGTCACCAAGTACGACTTGACTCAGAAGTCTAAGACATTTCTCAATTTAACTGATAAAAACTAGGCTCCACAACATGAAGAACCCTAACCTTCATCTAAGTACAAGTTTTCCTTACTGACAAGTGATATATTTTTCCCTGATTAACAAGTAGATCAGTATTTCAGGAGGGCCTGGGAGGCCCCAACATCAAGTACATTGCAGGATTCTGAGTAGGGCTGTCTAGATTTGAATTCAGATCAGGCATTTTCTGTTCAGCCTGGAGCAGATCATTTAACCTTTCTGGGACTGTCTTCTGTAAAATGAGAATACTACCACCTCCTCAAGTGTATAATACGGTTCCAGCAACCCACATGAAAGGCTTAGTATTGTTACTAGCACAATGCCAATAAAAATGTATGTTAAGTGGAGAAACTACAGAGTTCAAAGATAGGGCTACTGCTGGATTCACCATCAAGAGCTCATCAGCAATTACAGTTGATCCTCAAACAGCACAGGTTTGAACTATGTGGGTCTGCTCTATACATGGAATTTTTTCAATGAATACGTCAGTACCATGACCTGGACTGAAGACACACAGAGGGCCACTGATAAAAGAAATGCACAGACTTGATTGCATGGAGGGTGAGTCCCCCCAACCCTTTATTTTTCAAGGGTCAACTGTATTTAAAAAAAAAACCCAAGATGTTCTACTTGTAACCTTCCTATTCCCAGACTAGAAGTCAATACTGTCACTCTTTACAAGTCCTTTATAATTTTTTTTTGGGGGGGGTGGTGGGATTTGCTGCATGGCCATGTGGAATCTTAGTTCCCTGACCAGGGATCAAACCTGTACCCCCTGTAGTGGAAGTGCAGAGTCTTAACAACTGAACCACTAGTGAATCTGCCTCTCAATGCAGTTTTTGATCCCTGGGTCAGGAAGATCTTGGCAACCCCCTCCAGAATTCTTGCCTGGGAAATCCCATGGACAGAGGAGCCTGGCAGGCTACAGTCCATGGGGTCCCAAAGAGTCAGACAGGACTTAATGACTGAAACAACATCACTGTAGACTGTGCAAGTACATAAACCCAATCCTCTGTTGGCGGACCTGAAAGTGACTGCTGGAACTCGGAGAGGTTCTTGGACAAAGAGGAATTTTTCACCTTTTTGGCCTTAAGGGGTCAATCGGTATTCAATGGTGCTGCTGGCTTAGGTGAGAGAAGACGTCTTTGCCCTTCTAAAACGGTCTAAGTAATTTCCAGGTATGTATCACAAGCACTTGGAAGACTTTTTTTGTTGTTGGAATCATTTTTTTTTAATGTTTAAATACAAAAAGTGAGCACTGACTTTTTTCCTTTTTAAGACACATATACACACAAGTCTAACAGCCGAAATATTGGAGGAAATGAGCTCCTGCTCTGTCCTCCAGTTCCCATCTTATGGCTGAAGCTGCCAGCCCTCCCTCCATCCTTTCCAACGTACACAGAAATTCACAGTGGCTGCTTTGCAGCAGAGCTGTATTTAATGCATTTTGTATTTTATCTTGTGTGCATATCCTTCCCCAATATCTCCATTCTATTGTTAATGGTCAGGGGCACGTCCTTCTCCACAGCATTAGTTCCCACCCCAGCAATGGAATAGTGAGATCTTCCACCAGGAGTAATTTAGTGAGGGGGGTGGGGTTGGCCAGAGCTGGAGTAACCGTCTGCGTTGCTGCACTCTGGTATCAGCATGAGGAGAGAAGAAATAGGACAGTGGAGGGCACAGCTGCAAGTGAGGAGTCTCTCCATGAGCCAATGTGGGGAGAATTCCCGCCACCAGGTTTATAGAGCAATGTGCCAAAGTTTAAAAAAAAAAAAAAATCCAATAATCAGCAGTTCAAACACTATTGAATTTTCAAACTTCTTCCACCAAGATAGGTCAAATATAGCAGTAGCAATCTAGATTTTTCCGGGAAGTGAAGGTAGAGCCCCGGGCATTCCTCCTGACAGCCCTGTATTAGGCCCTAGAAGTATCTGGAAAAGAAAAGGACGGGTGTAAGGCATTGTACAGATCCAAGGGTCTCATTTTCATCATACCTGTATGGGCAGACAAAGTCTATGAAAACAATGTTGCGAAAACAATGCTCAAGGGCTTGGGCCAGATCCCAATCCTGCATGGCACATTAACTGCCCTACCTAGGCGCCGGAGGAATAAACAAACTTGTGTCGCCACAGATGGCAAAAAGCCCAGGGTCTGGGCTCACCTGCCGTTGTTGCAGCTGCTGCTGTTGCTCCATCTGCAATTTCTCAGTTTCAAAGACGACCGGAAGAACCAGGATCATGAAGGAAGTGGTTCCAATCCACAAGGCTGCCCTGGAAAACCTGCACAGGAAGCATGAGCATGACGGCGAGACAAAGACAGACAGCTTCCCCAAGAATGAACTAGTAACCAAACCTCTCACCCTGCACACACCGATGTTTTTTGATAAACGTGTTCTACCCAACCCTGCACCGCACTCCTGCCAGAAACAGGAGGAGCAGTTCTGGGGGTTGTATATTTAATAGGAGTCTGAACTGAGTTCTCACAATGCTGCTTTTATTACACATTATCTCACATAATCTGATCCTCACAATGACCCCCACCGGATAAGAATCCTCACTTTACAGAGGAGAAAATCGAGACCAAGAAAGGTTAAGGTGGCACCGATCCAAGGTCACTCAGTGATCCAGGTGGCCTCCAACCCAGGTCTGCTACTTCCAAAGCCCGTGTTCATTCAGGGCACCTCGGTCACGCCAGGCACATCCCAATATCTTGCCCCTTGTCCCTTACCTGTACATTTTTTGAGCCACGAAGAGGGAAAGATCAAAAGTGGCTCCAGCCGCGGACCGGACCCTCTCCGGGAACATCTCCGTCAGACCCCACAGTCTCTCCGATAGCGTTTCATCTAGCTGTGGTGGAGGAGGCGTGGATATGGGCCGAAGCTGCGGCAACCACCCCCCGACGCCGGGACAAGCCGGCCCCAGCAGGGCATCACCCCGCCTCCCGGAGACGCCTCCGCTGGGACCTCTCCGGGCTCCGCGACGCGCCTTCGTCCAGATTCCGCACCACGCGGACCCCACACCCCCACTCCCTGCCCACACTTTCCAGCCCCTCCCTGCCCTGCGGCGCTCCGTACCTCCTCGTCGTCGTCTTCCTCCAGCTCTTCCTCAGGCTTCTCGGCATCGCCTTTCGGAAGCAATTCGTCCGGGGACAGGGGCGCCCCAGGGCCGGCGGCGGCGGCAGCCATGGCTGTGGGGGACACCGGAAGCGGAAAAGAAGAGGTGAGTGCAGCGACGGCGGCGGATAGAGCCGCTCTTCTGGGAGCCGGGTCTTGGCGGACTTTGGAAGAGCGCCGCCCTCTGGCGGATCGACTTCACCGGCCTTCAGAAGGCAGAAGGGAACGTGACACACCTGGAAAATTTGTTAAGGCAGAGAGTCTGGTGTGCGCGCGGTAATTCTCTTCAGTGGACTTAGGGTGAGCCTGGAAATCTGCATTTTATTAATAACAAGCCTCCCAGATATCACACTTAAGCCAACACTAATCCAATTTCATTTTCCTGAGGGCTGTATTTAAAATTAGAGAGCTGGAGATGTATTGGTCTTCTGGGAAAACGTGAAGTTAACAGTCTCAATGTATTAACATAAAGGCGAGTTAACACTCAAGTACCAGACATCGTTTGTGTGTGGGAAGGCGGGTGTGTGTGGGTGCTCATTTAATCCTCACATCAACCCACTGAGGTGCTATTACCCCCATTTTAGAAATGAGATTGAGGCACAGCACAGGGTTCAGGGTTGCTGCAAGTATTCCTGAAGGATGGATTTCTAGAAGTGGGTTTCCTGGACAAAAAGTTGCTCAGTCACTCAGTCGTGTCTGACTCTGAGACCCCATGGACTGCAGCACTCCAGGCGGCCCTGTCCATCGGCAATTCCTGCAGCTTGCTCAAACTCATGTCCATCGAGTTGGTGATGCTCTCATCTCATCCTCTGTCATCTCCTCACCATCTCATCCTCTGTCATCCCCTTCTCCTCCCACCTTGAATCTTTCCCAGCATTAGGGTCTTTTCCATTGAGTCAATTCTTCGAATCAGGTGGCCAAAGTATCGGAGCGTTAGCTTCAGTCCTTCCAATGAATATCCAGAGTCGATTTCTTTTAGGATGGACTGGTTGGATGATCTCCTTGCAGTCCAAGGGACTCTCAAGAGTCTTCTCCAGCACCACAATTCAAAAGCATCAATTCTTCAGCGCTCAGCCTTTTTTATCATCCAGCTCTCACATCCATACATGTCTACTGGAAAAAACAAAAAAACTAAGATCATGGCATCTGGCCAAAAAGTGTGAACATTTAAAATTTTGCTAGGTATCAGGTCATTGCCCGCAGAATTAGAGTATCATATACTTTCACAATACTAAATGGAAGTGTCCTTTTCTCCACGTTCTCCAAATTTTATTTTTTTGTCTATACAATGGATGAAAATGCTGCTTTTTATAATGTCCTCAACAAGTTATTAACATGAGGGTAATTTGATATACCTCTTTAGCCAACTGACTGTGGAACCATAGACTCTCAGGACTGGACAGTCCCAAAACTTATCTGATAATTGACTTTGTCTTGTTCTTTCATATTGGGGTGGGGGGGTGGAAGGGACGGGGACTCAAGAGATATACCTAACCTTTGAGTTATGCAGGAATTAAGGTCCCCACGCAGGAGGAGGATTGTAACCTCAGGCTGAACACAAGATTCCTGGAGAATCGCCCTGTTAACTCACCACCAACCAATCAGGAGAAAGTCTGCACATGGTGGAAGATAAGGAAGACTCTGATCCCCTCCCCAAATGATTGTCCCTTTAAAAACTCTTATGGTCAGCAGAATTTCAGAGTTGGCTTTTGGACATGAGCCTGGCTTCTCCCCAAGTTGCTGGCCTCCTGAAGAAAGCTACCTTTCCTTTCCAACCAAGACTTGTCTCTGAGTATTGGTTTTTAAGCAGTGTACAGCTGAACCCGGTACTTCCCCGGTGGCTCAGTGGTAAAGAATCCACCTGTAATGCAGGAGACTGAGGTTCGATGCCTGGGTCAGGAAGATTCCCCTGGGGGAGGGCATAGCAAACCACTCCAGTATTCCTGCCTGGAGAATCCCAAGGACAGAGGAGCCTGGCGGGCTACAGTCCATAGAGTCGCAAAGAGTCAGACCTGACTGAAGCAACTGAGCAGGCAGGCAGCTGAACCTGAGTTCAGTAACAGGCTAGCTCTGTAGAAATGAAAGGTCAGCTTAATAGCCCAATGCCAATGGCATCTGGGCTTCCCAGGTGGCACTGGTGGTAAAGAACCCATCTGCCAATGCAGGTTAGGCATAAGAGATGCCAGTTTGATCTCTGGGTGGGGAAGATCCCCTAGAGAAGGGAATGGCAACCCACTCCAGTATTCTTGCCTGGAGAATCCCATGGACAGAGGAGACTGGCGGGATACAGACCATAGGGTTGCACAGAGTCAGAAACCACTGAAGTGACTTAGCAATGGCATCTGATTTCTTTTACAGATACTTAAAAAAAATGCTAGAAGACCAACACTCTTGAAGGGTTGAGAAGGCCATCTTGTATGGAAACTACAGATATTGTCTCTGATGAAATAAAATTCATACTATAGAAAGATAAGAAAAATTTAAACATAAAATCTTCCTTTGCCTGTTCGGGCCTTCTCCCTCCCCTTTAGCATGTATTGTGACTCTTCTTTTAACCAGACCTCCTCATTGTTGTTGCCCAGTTGCTAAGTCATATCTGACTCTTCGTGTCTGACCCCATGGGCTGCAGCACACTAGGCTTCTCTGTCCTCCACTATCTCCCAGGGTTTGCTCAAATTCACATCGATTGAGTCAGTGATGCCATCCAACCATCTCATCCTCTGTTGTCCCCTTCTTCTCCTGCCCTCAATCTTTCCCAGCATCAGGGTCTTTTCCAAAGAGTTGGCTCTTCGAGTCAGGTGGCCAAATGTTGGAGGTTCAGCTTCAGCATCAGTGCTTGCAATGAATATTCAGGGTTGATTTCCTTTAGGACTGACTGGTGTGGGAGACCTCCTTGGGAGACAGATAGACTGCCTGGGGACCTCCTAGATATTCCTTCTTAATCTCATCAAGGGTCACAACTCTTTAGGAGATAGCCTTCCTTTTTTAAAAAACAGTTTTTGTTTTATTTTTGGCCTTGAGCCACATGGGATCTTAGTTCCTAGACCAGGGGTTGAACCTGTGCCCTTCTGCAGTGGAAGAGCAGACTTAACCACTGGACCCCCAGGGAAGTCCAGATAACCTTCCTTCTTAATCTTGTAAAATGCCATGATGACCCATTGATCTGGATTGTGTAAACTGTAGATTGTGTAAACTGGGCCTTACAGGACTTCCCTAGTGGTCCAGCAGATACGACTCTGTGCTACCAATGCAGGAAGCCAAGGTTTGATCCCTCGTCAGAGAACTAAGATCTCACATACCGCAACTACTGAGTCGGAGTACCACAATGAAGACCCAGTGCAGCCAAAATAAATATATAAAAATAAAACCTAACAAAAAAGCACAAAACCCGGTAATACAGGACTTCCCAGGTGGTCCAATGGTTAAGACTGTGCTTCCACTGCGGGGGTGGGGGGCAGGGTGCAGGTTCAATCCCTGATGGTGGTGATGGTTGTACAATACGATGAGTGTATTAATATGACTTAACTATAAGCTTTTTGATAGTTAAGATGGTAATTTTTATGTTATGTGTTTTGCCACATAAAAATGTTTTAATTAAAAACAAAAAAAATTAGAACTATCCTCCAAAAATCCCCCTAAAAGTGGCGGTGGTGGGGAAGGGCATCTTCTTCCCCCAACCCAAGAGTGAATTCAAGGAGCTGCTGGGGAGGAAGGAGAGAAAGTGTCACTGATTATCCTAAGTAGAAATGGCTCAGTGGCAGCAAAGGAGACACATGAGAAGACTGGTGATAGCCCAGAGCCTCCGTTGAGGGACAAGTTGCGGGTGCCATCAATTGAGGGATGATGTCCCATGCTGGGTACAAGGGTGACTCTGCCATCTGGATGGAGCTGGGGTGTTCTAGAACCCCACCCCCAGCTCCTCTTATCCCCTATCCCTAAACTCCATAGCTTCCACCTTTCCTGTTTCTCTCGTGTCAGAATGTGAAACTGGCAATGCGGTAGTTCCTAATTTGGTTTGGTTCAGTGTGGGGCATAGATCCCTTTGAGAATTTTACAAAAGCTCTAAGTACCCCCTCCCAAGAAACCATACATGTCAGCCCATATCTATACAGTTATGCATATGGGTCCCCTTATTAGGCCTCGAGCTGTAAATTTTTTTTTTTTTTAGCATTTATTTTTGGCTGTGCCAGGTCTTCATCGCTGCTTGGGGGCCTCTCTCTAGTTGTACTGAGAGGGGGCTACTCTTTAGTGGAGGTGCGCGGGCTTCCCATTGTGGCAGTGTCTCGTGTGGACCACAGGCTCTAGAGGGCTGGCTTAGTTGCCATGAGGCACATGGGATCCTCCCAGAGCAGGGATCGAACCTGTGTCCCCTGCACTGGAGGTGGATTCTTAACCACTTGACCACCAGGGAAAACCCTTCTCTGGTTTTTTGCTCTCCCTCCCTCACACCCACAGAACTTTCTATCTCAGCTCTTCAGTAACAGTTCTTCCCTATGACAGCTCAGAAATTTACAGAATGGTCGCAGTGATTACAAATGATAGCAAACATTAAGTAGACAGCACTATTTACTTGGGTGCCCCCCAAAGTAGTAGATTTGGTCAATAAAGCTTGGAGGAGGAAGAATTTTAGCCAGCATCTGATAGATATATCTGATAAAAAGGTAAGATATTGAAGGAATATAGCATTTTCTTTTTTTTCTTTTTGGCCACACTGCATGGCTTGAAGATCTTAGTTCCTTGACCAGGGATTGAACTCACTCAGCTCACACAGCACATGGGCTGCACCTTCAATTCCAGCTTAGAATCTGACCACTTCTCCTAAACTGCCACCTCTCTGGCCCCATCCTTGCCCCCTTCCATCTGTTCTCACACACAGGGAAGCCAGAGGGATTTTTTTTTTTTTTAATAAAAGTCGATCAGCGTTCCTCTGGTGAAACTCACCAGTGGTTTGCTTCCCTCCTCACCCTAAATACAAGCCCTTCCTCACTGCAGAGCTGCCCCACACGACTGAAGCCCCCTCAGGTGCCAGCGGTGGTGCAGAGGGGACCAGGACCCACATCATTGGGACCATGAAACATGCCCCTCCTGATTCCAAAGCTTTCAGTCCTGGATCCTTCCCTTCTCGCTGGGTGATCTTGCTGGGCTTGTTTCTTCATCTAAAAGCAGGGGATGATGATAACAAACTTGAACATTTTTCATGAGAATTAGAAACATGGCCCTTCTTTGGTTTATGTCCCAATAAACCCATCTCATTCTTCTCATCCTCCTTCTCCTTTTGCTTTCAGTCTTTCCCGGCCTCAGGGTCTTTTCCATTCAGTCGGCTCTTCGCATTAGGTAGCCAAAGTATTGGAGCTTCAGCTTCAGTTCTTCCAATGAATATCCATTTTGCTAGCATTTTGCTAGACTGGAAAACTATCATAGGTCAAAATACAGTTTATACTAAATGGGTATCACTTTTGCACCATTCTAAAGTCAAAATATTGTAAGCTGAACCATCATAAGACCACTGAACCACTGTCTACAGGTGTCTAGCATCCAGGGTGCACAGTAAATGGTTGCTAAAGACACTGGTTGAGGAATAGGCAAACTCTCCATTGCTCCTATTATTTGCACGTGAAGACTTGCAACTTCATCCAGTATCCTTTCTCAGTGTCTTCTAAGTGAGTCTCTCCTGCACCAGGAAGGAAGATTATGGGCTGGGGCTTCTCTATCTACCCCACAGGGAGCTGGCCCTGAGGATGGACTACACGAGGCAGCCCCTCACCAGCTCCCCTCTTTCACTGTGGGCTGTGGATCACAGGCTCCCATACTTCCTCTGTCTGATCCCAGACCAGCTTTTGAAACCTCTGGAGTTTGGTTCCTTATCTGCCAACAGGCATGCAGACTGGTATGCCCTGCTCCACAAGGCTGAGCTGAGGAGCAAAAGAGAGTCTAAGCAAGATCCAGAGCCCTGTCCCAGGCGGTAACGGGAATCCAGAAACAGCTGACCTCAGTAGCCATCCCTGTTCTAAAGCCCGGAGCTCTGTGCCGCCCCCAGTGCCTTCCCCCTGGACTTTGGAAGCTGGACTCCCTCTTGCTGACTTTGGCTAGCTCCTTCCACCAGCCAGAGAAGCCCGGCTCCCTCTAAGGGTACAAACTCCCACTTGGGGAAGCCAGCCCTCTATCCCAACCACTCAATCCCTCCAGGTCCAAGCGAGTCCAGAAAGAAGGCGGACAGGGGGTCTGGGCAGAGCGACCATTTTTACTCCAGCTCAGCCTCTGCGGATGCCCAGGAAGCTGGAATGCTTCTCCTGCGATGGGGACATCCCCCCACAACCTAGATGACGGTGCATCCCAGGATTAGAACCCAGCCTCCGTAACTCACTTCCTCAGGAACTGAGGCTTCTTTTTTTCAATCTTTTGGCCAGAGAGAGATTAGATAGCATCATTTAATTTTAAAAAGTAGGGTAGAGAGGAAAGTAGCACAAAAATATAGTGTTGCCGTGGAAGGCTGGCGCTGGCTGCCGAGATGCTGAAGCCAGAGGAGGTTGTGGATCTGAGGGAAATGAGTGTTCTTTAAAGGAGCAAGAGGATGGGCTGGAGGGCAGAGAACCAGGACAGCCTCTCATCTGAGACCCCCCACCTCCCAACAAGAGGGCGCCACACCTCAAACACCGACGTGAGGGGATGATGGGATGACCTCCGTCCCAGGAGGGTGAGCCTGAGCCATGGGCATTTGGGTGTTAAATGACTGGAGAAAACCCAAAGGCTTCCGTCACCCCCAGACCTCCCCGGGGAGGTCTCCCCTGCCGTGAAGCACAGGACTGGCCTAGAATCTACTGCAGTCACCTTCCTACCGCCAACCCAAGGGGGCCAGTGCCTTCTGGCCCTATTATATGATGCTCTCTCCCAGGACCTGATCCCTCCGTTTGGCTAAAAATACCCTCAGCCACATCCCCCTCTTCTGATGGATGGGTTTCCCCCTGTTCTCCAAACAGGTGTCTTTGGGGTCTTCATTTTCTCCGCCTGCTGACGCTCTTCAGTTCATCCAGCTCTTTCTCCATTAAGTGGGATTCAGCAGTGGTCTCCGAGAGCTGGAAGAAGAGCAGCAAACCGTTACAGACAGGGATGTTTCAGGGCCATGATTCAGGTCGGCAAGGCCAGCCCTGTGCGCTGGGAAAGGCCCCTGGCATTCCTCTAATGCTGCCGGCACCTCCAAGGCAGGAACCCCTTTGTAACTGGGCAGAGAGTAATCTCCTGAAGACCCAGGGCCTCAAGCGCTTGCGGAGCACTCACCATCCATTCTCTCATCATTTCTTATCACCTAGGATTGTGTGGCACCCACTGTGTTAAGGACACCAGGTTTCAAGGGATGAAAAGCGCAGATATTGGTGGTTTCAAGGCTAAAGGACTAAGTTGCCTCTGAGTCGTGGCTCACGTAAAAATGGTTGAAAAAGAATGCCACTCCCCTCATTAGGATCCCTCACTTGTCTCTGGAGGAGAGGGTGGAAGACGTTGCAGACAGGGATGGAGAGACACAGACTCCAGAGGTCAGCTGACTGAAACAGAAGAGCTGCACTTTCCGAGCCAGACGCTATTCCCAGAGCTTTACTTGTATTATTAACTCAGTAATGAGGTGGATCCTCTTTTCGGGCCCATTTTACTGCTGAAGACACTAAGCTTCTTCACACAGAGTAGTTAAGTAACTCATCTGAAGTCACACAGCCAGGGGCGAAGGTGGGTCAGGGACCCAGGCAGTTTAGCTACAGACACAGGCTCTTAAACACACGGCAGGGTGCCCTCCTGCCTCTCCTGAACCTCCACATATACCTCTAGGTTCAACAGGCCGTTGGGTTTTAAAAGCCACAAGAAACGGATGCCAACAGGCGGTGTGGCTCTGCGCAGGTCTTTGCCAGGCTCCGGTTAAGGCTGCGTGGTGCGGGTCCCTGCCCAGCAAGGAGCAGACTGTCCTTCAGTCCTGAATGCCTTCCAGCCGCCATTCCTCGCTTTATCTTTCCTTAAATACCCCTTCCCACGATGGGCTCCTGACTGGACAGAATGAAGCTCTCCCTCCCTTGGCGGATTCCAGGCCTGGACAAGACTCTAATCTCTGTCCTTACCTGAGGCCGTGTTTGCTGTCTTTCTCTCAGTTAGACTCTGAGCCCTGGAGGGCGGGGGCTGTGTCTGCCTGGGTTTCGTATCTTTGGATGCAGAGCAGTGTGCCTGGGCAAGCTGGCACTCGAGAGTGTGGACTGGCTGAAACGACTCGCGGGAAAGCTGCCCAGGGAAAGCCAAGGCATCGCCCCCCGGATGCACTCCTCACCATGTCCAGCAGGATGTCCACCTTCAGCCGCAAGAGGTTGTTCTCTTCTTCCAGCTGCTGGTTCCGTCTCCGCAGGCGCTGAGCCTCCCTCCGGTCCACACCTCCACTAACCCCCGTCTCTGGCAGAAGGGTACAACCAGCGGTCACCAAGTGCGGGTTGCCTTCCACCATCATGCTGGGGCAAAATGGCAGGAAATGCAGCCCACCTGCTACCCACTGGCCGTTCTCAAACTTCAGGCTCTGCCCGGCCAGGTTCATGGTGGGGGTTCCGTAGTCAAGGCCCAGTTCCACCTCCCGCGTTGACCGGTCCAACTGTGGATGAGACATTCACACCGGCATCAGGCGGCCAGAGTACCCAGGCTTGTGGTCCAGCACCTCTTCTGCTAGCTATGAGACCCCCTGCATGCACTCAGTCGCATCAGACTCTTCGTGACCCCACCAATTGCAGCCTGCCAGGCTCCTCTGTCTATGGGATTTTTCCCAGCAAATACTGGAGTGGGTTGCCATTTCCTCCTCAAGAGGATCTCCCCAACCCAGGGACAGAACCTGGGTCTCCTGAATTGGCGGGCGGGTTCTTTACCCCTGTGCCACGTGGGAATCCCTGACTATGTGACCCCCAACAACTCATTTCTTTTTCTCTAATCATAACTCCGCACATTTAATAAGTTTTTTTTTTCAAATAAAGTCAGAAAATTAAATAAGGTACCGAAAAAGTTTTAAACTATAAAAGAAAAGTACTGCTTTATATAATAGGTGTTTTCCAGAAAATCTATATATGCTGAAATTTGCAAATTGAATTATTTCATATCTACAGGGCACTTGGCAGTTTAAGAAGTCTCACCGTAAATTTTTCGCCAAGTGAAAAATCCTTTTTAAATGTAAGCTTGAGCCATCACTTGCTTCCTATGGAGCTACATATGTCCTGGAAAAGGCATGAAGTGCTAAGTCCCAACTAGTGGTAGCAGCTGTTCTTTAATGTGTTTTTCAACGTTTCTACAGCTCACTGAGCGCCCACCGTGGGCCAGGGCTGGTACTGGATACACAGAAATGAATGCAACCCTTCTACCCTGGAGGAGCTTGGAAACTGCCTTTGGAGCTGTGGCAAATCCTTTTGAACGTTTTTAATGTTGGCAAAACATCATCCTTTGAGAATGAATTTGTTCTCAGACATGACTAAAAAACTGATTCCTGGCCAAGTCTTGGGAATCAAGTGAAGTCAAATTGGATAAGATCCTTTGGTCTCCAAAATCATAATGAGAATGACTATCTTTTAAGGTTCTTGAACAGTTCTGATAATAATTTCCAAACAGGAGTTAAGACATGGTTTCAGCAATAGCAATCATATGAATTAAAAGGATACCCTCCCACGAGGATGCCTCTGGAGGACCACACTTTCCATAAGAGGCCAGGCTCGAGGCTCTGTTCACACTGCACACCACTGTTGATACTCACATTATGCAGGTTGGAGAGAGAGGCCGACTTCCGAGGGGGCGTCTTCTTCGGACTAAACGTACTTCCAAAGAGAGGCATCTTCAGCCTGATGAAGGAAAGGTCAATGCTCCCTTCTCCCAGGGTCAGAAAAAGTCAAGGGTTACAAAGAGTTGGATCAGTGACCTTGTGCCTCTGTCCTGAAATCACGAAAACACACATTCTATCATGTGACCATTAACTGTCCTGGTGACAGCTCCCCTGTGCTGAGTGCTCACGATGTGCTAGGCAGCATGCCCAAACCTTGGCAACATCTCAGTCCTCACAATCACCCTTGGTTCAGCTCCTCTTAGTATACCTATCTGACAGATGAGGTTTAGAAAGACTACAGGCCTAAGTGGGAGCTGGTATTTGAACACAGGTCTGTGTGACTAGTCTATGTCAACCACCGGCAAGTGCCTAACTGGCTGGTCTTAAGTTTCGTTAAAAACTGGCATCACCCCATCAGCAGATGAATGGATGAGGAAGCTGTGGTACATATACACCATGGAATATTACTCAGCCATTAAAAAGAATTCATTTGAATCAGTTCTAATGAGATGGATGAAACTGGAGCCCATTATACAGAGTGAAGTAAGCCAGAAAGATAAAGACCATTACAGTATACTAACACATATATATGGAATTTAGAAAGATGGTAACGATAACTCTATGTGCAAAACAGAAAAAGAAACTCCTATGTATAGAACAGACTTGTGGACTCTGGGAGAAGGCGAGGGTGGGATGTTTCAAGAGAACAGCATTGAAACACGTATATTATCTAGGGTGAAACAGTTCACCAGCCCAGGTTGGGTGCATGAGACAAGTGCTCGGGCCTGGTGCACTGGGAAGACCCAGAGGGATTGGGTGGAGAGGGAGGTGGGAGGGGGGACCGGGATGGGGAATACATGTAAAAAAAAAAAAAAAAAAAAGATACACTATGGTTGTGATAAAAAAAATAAATAAATAAATAAATAAATTTAAAAAAAAAAAAAAAAAAAAAAAAAACTGGCATCACCAGATTTACAGTCTAGACCAAGGCACTAGAAGGACTCTCAAGAGAGTCCTTTGGACAGCAAGGAGATCAAACCGGTCAATCCTAAAGGATATTAGCCCTAAATATTCATTGGAAGGACTGATGCTAAACCTCCAATAATTCGGCCACCTGATGCAAAGAACTGACTCACTGGAAAAAGACCCTGGGGTTGCATTTCCGGTAGCAGCGGCAGGAAGCGAGTTACTCGCCGCCTTCTAGGCCTCCGCTAAAGCGAATCCGGCGGGAATCCGAGCCATCAGAACCGCCACCATGACCGTGGGCAAGAGCAGCAAGATGCTGCAACACATTGACTATAGGATGAGGTGTATCCTGCAAGATGGCCGTATCTTCATTGGCACCTTTAAAGCCTTTGACAAGCATATGAATTTGATCCTCTGTGACTGTGATGAGTTCAGGAAGATCAAACCAAAGAACTCAAAACAAGCAGAGAGAGAAGAGAAGCGAGTCCTTGGTCTCGTGCTACTTCGAGGGGAGAACCTGGTCTCAATGACAGTAGAGGGACCACCTCCGAAAGATACTGGCATTGCCCGAGTGCCACTTGCTGGAGCTGCTGGGGGCCCAGGGATTGGCAGAGCTGCTGGTAGAGGAATCCCAGCTGGGGTTCCTATGCCTCAGGCTCCTGCAGGACTTGCTGGGCCAGTCCGAGGGGTTGGTGGTCCATCCCAACAGGTGATGACCCCACAAGGAAGAGGTACTGTTGCAGCAGCTGCAGCTGCTGCCACAGCCAGTATTGCAGGGGCCCCAACCCAGTACCCACCTGGCCGTGCAGGTCCTCCACCACCTATGGGCCGAGGGGCACCCCCTCCAGGCATGATGGGCCCACCTCCTGGTATGAGGCCTCCCATGGGTCCCCCAATGGGGATCCCACCTGGACGAGGAACTCCTATGGGCATGCCGCCACCGGGGATGCGGCCTCCTCCCCCAGGGATGCGAGGCCTTCTTTGACCTTGGCCACAGAGTTATGGAAGTAGCTCCACAGAGGCTTGGGCCTGATTCTCCAGGGCCACGTTACCACACCTGTTTGTTTGTTAAGCCGTTGTTCGCAGAGTCTCACCAGATTGTCTGGTTTCCCTTACAGGGCCCCCTCCCCCGGGAATGCGCCCACCAAGGCCCTAGGCTCATCTTGGCCCTCCTCAGCTCCCTGCCTGTTTCCCGTAAGGCTGTACATAGTCCTTTTACTTCCTTGTGGCCTGTGACACTAGTTTATAATAAACTCTTTAAGAGAATATTAAAAAAAAAAAAAAAGAAAAAGACCCTGATGCTGGGAAAGATGGAAGGCAGGAGAAGGGGGTGACAGAGGATGAGATGGTTGGATGGCATCATCGACTCAATGGACATGAGTTTGAGCAGACTCTGGGAGACAGTGAAGGGCAGGGAAGCCTGGTGTGCTATAGTTCATGGAGTCGCAGAGAGCTGGACACCACTGAGTGACTGAACAACAACAAAAGGCGTGAGATCCTTACTCCTGGACACTGGTAAGGCTCACACCTGGGGCAACAGCTTCTACATATACTCCATTTTAAAGAAATAAAAGCTTTTTCTGGGAACATGCCTTTTTGCTTTCTTATTGGTTTCTTTTTGATTAAAGAAGTTCTTCATTTTAGTGGGATCTGACTTATTAAATTTTTTTAATGATTAGTGTTTTTTATTTAAGAAATTTTTGCATACCCTAAGGTCATGATATTTTCATACATTAACTTTTGATAGTTTCCTTCTTTCAGCTTTCACACTTAGGACAGCCACTCATCTGCAATTAACTTTTGTATGTGATGAGAGGCAGGGCCACGGCTCCTTTCTTTCCCTGTATTGTGTGTGTGTGTTATTCGCTCAGTGGTGTCCAACTCTTTGCAGCCTCATAAACTGTAGCCTGCCAGGCTCCTCTTCCCATGGAATTCTCCAGGCAAGAATACTAGAGTGGGTTGCCATTCTCTTCTCCAGGGGATCTTCCCAACCTAGAGATCAAACCCTGGTCTCCTGCATTGCAGGCAGATTCTTTACCATCTGAGCTACCAGGGAAGCCCAATTTTAATGTACATTACACAGACAGCTTAACAAGATTCCCTCTAAGAAACTGTAGAATGACGATACCAATAATGAAGGCACAAATGAGCAAAAAGAAAGCAGCAAAGCTCTCACCTTTCCTACTCCCAGGGATAAAATCTTCCTTCACCACATCATGAGATAAAATGGTAATTTTATCATATCTAGCAAGAAATTGGCCAAAGAGAGAGGGAACTTCTCAAGACTACTTGAAACAAGGTTTTATATCAACTGTTATTAAAAAATAACTCATAGTAGCTTTTCTTCACAATTAGCAAGACATATATTTAACAAGGACACGAAGAAAAAACTTCATACTGTTTTCAGTGATGTAGAAATTAATATCAGTGAAATTAATGATAAAAGTTTAGAAGCTTCTTTAGAAGCTTTACAATATAGATATACATATATGTATAAAAGTATATGTACATATGACTTACAAATAAATAAAATACATAAGACATTTAGGGGTGTGTGCTCATGAGTTTTACTGGTGTGTGTATGTGATTAAAAACACATTTGAATCAGTTCTAATGAGATGGATGAAACTGGAGCCCATTATACAGAGCGAAGTAAGCCAGAAAGATAAAGACCATTACAGTATACTAACACATATATATGGAATTTAGAAAGACGGTAACGATAACCCTATATGCAAAACAGAAAAAGAGACTCCGATATATAGAACAGACTTGTGGACTCTGGGAGAAGGCGAGGGTGGGATGTTTCAAGAGAACAGCATCGAAACACGTATATTATCTAGGGTGAAACAGATCACCAGCCCAGGTTGGGTGCATGAGACAAGTGCTCGGGCCTGGTGCACTGGGAAGACCCAGAGGGATTGGGTGGAGAGGGAGGTGGGAGGGGGGACCGGGATAGGGAATACATGTAAATCCATGGCTAATTCATTTCAATGTATGACAAAAACCACTGCAATGATGTAAAGTAATTAGCCTCCAACTAATAAAAATAAATGAAAAAAAAAAAATAAAGTTACCAGCTACCCTAAAAAAAAAAAAAAAAAAACACAGAGATAGAAAACAGACTTGTGGACACAGTGGAGGAAGGAGATGAGACAAATTGAGAGAGTAGCATTAAACATATGCATTACCATATATAAAAAAGATAACTAGTGGGAAGTTGCTATATAACACAGCTCAACCCAGTGCTCTGTGACAACCTAGAGGGTTGAGATGGGGTGGGGGGTGGAAGGGAGGTTCAAGAGAGAGGGGAACATATGTATACTTATGGCTGATTCACACTGTTGTGCAGAAACCAACACAACATTATAAAACAATATTCCTCCAAAAAACAGTGGTAGACCCACAGCCTGAGAGATGGCATTTGGGCTGGGGCGTAACACTTTAGGACTTGGACAAACCAGAATGCTTCCATCTTGATGGTGGGTGGGACAGCAGTGGGGACGGAGATCTTGAGGGTGTTTGAAGCCGTGCTACTATGTCATCCAAAACATCGTGGAAGGCCCTGGCATTGTTTCTGCAGGAGAAAAGAAAAATCATGGAAGAGGGAAGACAATTACTCTTATGTCCACAGAGGGCAGAACAGGAATGAAATAGGAATACCCAGGGAGAACGATTTTCACCGAAAAAATAAAAGGTCATAACAAAAACTAACTAATATCACTTCTTGAGTATCCATAAGAGGTTGGACCCAATGCTGGGGACAATTCATATATTTATTTTATTCCTTGCAGGAATCCCATAAGGTAATTTTCCTGTCCATATCAGAAACGAGAAAACTAGGGCTTGAAGAAGTTATCCAGTTTTCCCAAAGTTCCTAACCATGGTCAGTTGGCTAAACATGTATACCAAATTATCCTTGTATTAATAACTGGTGGGGTACATCATAAAAAGAAGCATTTTCATCCATCATGTTGGCAACATTTAAGAGATCAATAATACAATGTTGGTGAAGGTATGGAGACAAAGATACTCTTGGTGGAAAC